ACCAGCTTACATAGTCTCCCTTGACTATCTCGTCCATACACATGTGTTGAAGTATTACCTACCTACAATTAACTTTTGACTTTATTTTCTATACCATGCCTTGCCTTCTTACCAGCAATCAATAAATAAAGCCCAGGAACTATCTCTTTGGAAAATCAAGAAGCACCTTAGCACTAACATGTCCAAAAATTATCTCCTATTTCCAATTGTCTTGTTTATCACAATTCTATATCTTTTGAAATGGTTTCACACTGCAAGTTACCAGGCAATCTTACGGATTTTGATGTACCTTCTGACCTTCCTCTGTCCCACTCCTTGAGCTCAGGGAGTATTTCATTCACATCTTTGAATGAAGTGATTAACTCAATGATTGTTTCATAATAAATAGCAGACATATATGTTTGATTAAATGAATGAAAGACAATGTGCACAACTACTGTTTTTTTTTAATTCTTGTTAAACAGAAAAAATAACTGCATGATATTTCTTTCAGAAAAATGACCACCACTAATTTCTTTGGTCTAGATTTGTAATTATCCTTTAGGGACTGAGGGATCATGACTTCAAATCTCAGAAGTACTGGGATTATATTCTTATTGTGGAGGTTTCTATCTCCTGCATCCAGAACTTCATCAGTATTATCTGGCTTCTTCTAAATCTATTATTGCCATTACCTCTTTTAGTAATAAACAATTTTGTTATTTCTACTGGAGAGTTCTCTCTTTTCTTTCTCTTTCACTTCCTGCTTCTTTTCCCTCTTCTCCTCTTTTGGTCCTCCTCCTTTCTCTCCAAGCTTTCTGTTTTCAGTCTCTGTTGCCATTCACTGACTATGCTGAAAAGGGTTTGTTTGTTCGTTTGGTTTGGTTTGGTTTTACTATCAGGTAAGTTTTGATTTAAGTATGCCTTGTTTCTTAAATAATCTTGCAACTTACTTGGCCTTAAACCGTATTTAACTTCCAAGTTAAAGTACAAAATTTCATTTAGCTGTCTTTTGTTGATGTTTATGCTTCTAAGTTATACTCCCCTTTTGGTATCCTGTTAGTTAAAATCTGAGATATAAAGGTAACTATTATTAATACATCTTGTGTTGGATTGTATTTGTACTAAGTTGATAGTGCCCCTTTCTCCAAATTCATATACTTCCTAAAACCTCAGAATGTGACCTTATTTGGAAATAGAGTTTTTGCAGATCTAATCAAATAAAGATGAAGTCATTAGAGTGGGCCCTAATCCAATATGACTGGTGTCCTTATAAGAAGAGGGAAATTTGAACACAGATGCACACAGTGAGACAACCATGTGGCCACAGAGGCAGAGATTGGAGTGATGCAGCTGCAAGCCAAGGAATATCCAGAAAGAAAGAATTCTCATAACTATTATGGACCTTGTGTCTGCAACTGATTGGTATTTACGACTGTCTCCTCCAGTCTCCATCCCATATTCCCTTTGCCTTCCAGAAGCACTTCAGCAGGTGGAGGTTCTTTGTCTGGTAGAGTGAATCAAATCTTCACTCTTGGAGGTTCTGTCACATTAGCAGCACTCCCCATAAGAGTCTATTATAGTTTTCCATTAACTTTAGTCACCGTACATGAGATTACCAAAAGGTATGTGTACCCCCAGGAAATCTCGAGTTCCACACATCTTCCCTTATAAGCTCATTATGTAGTAACAGCCAAATTTATAGTTGATATCTGAATCAGTCTTCACAGCCAGCGGAGCAAGCCCCTTTTCTGCCTATTGACTTATTGGCACAAGATGCCCAAAGTGATCAGTGATAGTCTCAACCTCAATCTGTGTCCTATGATGAAAGCATTTCTCCCTTGGAAACTAACTTCTAAAGCAGCAAACCCTAAATAACAAAAACTAAAAGCAAAATTTTGCAAATGGGAAGTTCCAGATTATCTGTGGTCACATAATTCCATCACAGTATATGTCTCCTGCTGATATTATCTAAAAATCTGAGCAGGAAAAAATTTCCCAAGGACACTGAAAATTAAACAGAAGCAATCAGAATACAGAGATGAGACAAAACTTGGAAGAGGGACCTACAAAGAGTTGAGGGTAAATTTCCTATATTTTTAAGTGTTGCCTCTTAGAGCTTTGTACTATGTGTGGGCCCAGTGATGGAGCAGTTGTACAGATCATACAAACTGCGACAGAAGCTCCATCTTTCTTCCCAAATAAAGAAGGAAAATGTGAGGAAAGTCTGGAAAGTTGAGAATCCTGGAGAGGAGACAGCTGAAGAAGGTGTTTCCCTAAGTCTGTATATGAACCCCTTCACAAATCTTGAGCTCAGCTCCATGTTGTACATGCTTTGGACAGAGCCAAAATAGCACAGCAAATGCTTTGCAAACTAAAATTATATTTAAACCAAAGCCTCTATCTCAGACTAGCCCTAAAGTACATATGCTCAAGGAAAACCTGAAGCAGCATCACAAAGTCTCTGAAAAACTAAAGTAAGATTGGGGCTACCACCCTTAGAAGGAGAAATAAATCTTGAAGTCTGAACCTAAACATGTCAATTATCTGCCAGAAACAAATTCAACCTTTTCCACAGGATCATAATAGGACCAAGGGTCTCTAAAACATAACATTCTGATGTCAAGGATACAGGGTTTTTTTTGTAATATACAAAGCACAAGGAGAATGTGATCAGTTCTCAAGAGAAAAAAATCAATTGACAGCAATTCCAACATGACCCAGATCTTGGCATTATCATATGAAAACTTTGAAGCATCATTACAACTATGCTCTATGCTAAACACACTTTATTGAACTGAAATGTAAACATTTTCAGTAAAGAAATAAAAACTGTAAAAAGGAACCAAATGGACATTTTAGAACTGAAAAATATATTGGAAATTTAAAATTCACTGAATAGAGTCAATAGAGAGATAGAGGAAATATGTAGTTAACTTAAAGATAGAGCAATAGAAATTCTCCAGTTCGATGGAAAACAAAGAAAAAAAGGATTGGAAACAATAAATAGAGACTCAAGTTCCTGTAGGAAAATGTGAAATGGTCTAAAATAATCTTAATTATTCAGAATCAGCTTCAGATTTATACTAGCTTAATTCCAGTCATATGTGGAAACATTATTTCTTTATAACTCTGTTGTCTTTTCTACTTTTCTAGTATCATTGTAATACACATTACATCTTTTAATATTACAAGTATAACAATACATTGTTATAATTTTGTCTCTGAACAGAGACCTCTTCCTCCCTGCCTTCTCCCATCTCAGCAAGGTGGAAACCACTCCAGATGGATGCAGCCATGAACACAGAGCTTCTTCTCCCTCAACTCCCAAAAGGAAGATTTTCTTCCCTGGAGGAAGAGGACTGTAGTGTTTCTCATCTCACCCTCAGCTGCCTGTTGCTAAGTCCTAGGAGAATGTAGTCTAGAGGTGGAGGCTTCTTTTTTCCATCCTAACCTCCACTCATAGGATGGAGGCTGTACCTTGAGCATGGTGTGATAAGAATACTGAGGCCCCAGTCACTTTGCCCCAGCTTGTGAAGTGGTTTGTTCATCCGGGAAGGGCAAGCAGAGAGGACCAGAGGCTGTTACCCCCTCCACTGAGCACTCAGCTCTGACAGAAGGGCCATCACTCAGAAAGAAGCTTGTTATTGTCTCCAGTGCTTTGGATCAGAGATTTTGCCCAGGAGTGGGGGTGGAGAGAGAAGCAGGCCATAAAACAGATCCCAATCTCTTCCCAAAGGCACTGATTTTATTTGCAACAGGGCATGAAATTCACCTCTAAGGGTGCTTTCAAGAACTTCAGAAGCTATGGAGAAAGCAATGGAAAAGAGATTCTTAGATTTAATGAAGATATAGCCTAGACTGTAGGCTGGCTAGTTTGCAGGGGAAAATCAGGGAATAAGACAACTAGGAGGAGCCCTCCTAAAGACAGAACAAATATCCAAGCAAAATTGTACAACGCTGGCTTTGAAGATAGAGGAAGGGACCGCAAGCCAAGGAATCCAAGGAATACATCTATAGAAGGCCAGAAATGGGTTGATTCTTCACTAGAGCTTCTGGATGGAGTATGGTCCTGCTGACAAATGGACCTCAGCCCAGTGAAACTAATTTCAGATTTCTGAAAACAATGTGTATTGTTTTAAACCACCAAGCCTGTGGCAATTTATTACAGTAGCCATCAGAAATTAATACAGGAGTAAAGAGGCCAAGGGCAGACACAGATGGAAGCAGCAGTAAGGGTTGCTGATCAAATAAAAGCTCCAAACTCACCTTTATATCTAAAACACATTGATATCACCGAAAAGATTCATAAGGATTTAAACATTTGAAAGAATGAAATCAAACAACCCTCAGAATATTTAAAATGTACCATCATTGGACCACAGTTTTGAGGAGTTTCTGGTTAATAAAACGTAGACAGAATCAGATTGACCCAGAAGGAGTAAAGACAATAGCTGCATCATTGCGTGATGAGTTCTCTTTAGTCTAAGCAGCTATTTCTCTTTGCCACAAAGCTATACCCTGCGGTGTTGCAAGCAGTAGCTCATTTAAAGATCTGAAAAGAAATGATCCAAAGTATTTTGTTGTCAAGCCAGGAATAACTGAAGATACTGAATTCTGTTTCTCTCTGTGTCAGTGCTTAAGAGCAGTGACTTTAGGAAGTGGATGCAAGAGGGTGTCTGTGGACTTGTGTAAATTACCTGCAAGCAAATAATTCATTTTGATAAAAACAGATGGAAGAAGTTGAAGACTTTAAGAGAACATTCCTTCCTTCCGTCCTAGTCTCCATGTGGTGACCTGGAACTGCCACTCAAGAAGTCTGTTAGGAGCAGTCCTTGGAGGGTCCGATAGTTACGAAAGATCCCAGCTGTGAACCTTTCAGTTCAGAATGCATTTCTTGAGGGTTTCAGAGACGGCAGAGGTAAAGAGAGTATACCCGACGTTTTAACCTAAATCTTGGGAACACCTGCAGACGACAGTGGCTCAGCCCGTTTCACAGAATATTTTGAAGCCTTTCGTCAGGAGGGTATAGCTCAGTGGTAGAGCGCGTGCTTAGGAAGCATAAGGCCCTGGGTTCGTAACCCCAGCACCTCCGCGGATTCCTCAATGAACTCACCGTTGTCCTGTTAATGGCTGATTCTTTACCAACTCGGCCGCTTACCAGGTGTAGCTTGAGTTGAAGCGGACTGCTGAAAAAGCGAGCATCTTACCAACGGCGAGTATTCCGTTTTCTTCAAGGTGGCTCTCTCTGACATATTATCATTGGTAAACAAAAAAATGAGTGTGGATGGAAGTGCAAAAAGGAAAATTTGTGACAGTTTGCAGTTCTCAATCTACTTACTGAAACGGGAATAGCTGAAAAGAGAGAAGTTGCCCAGGCGTTTCGTACTCTTTCCTTTCTCTCCGCTTAGGGCCCTGACTCCCAGTTTTAACACCGCAGTAAATATTCCATATCACTAAAAGTGGGGGCTACCAGCGGTTTGGCCAGATGCTCGTTTCACTCAAGTTAGCTTATCCCAACTCAACTTTTATCGTGAGCTGGCCTCGCGGAAGCGGTAAGGTTGGTAACGAGTCAGCCCTAACAGGGTAAAGGTGAGTTCGTTGAGGAATCCGTGGAGGTGCTGGGGATCGAACCCGGGGCCTCGTGCATGCGCGCTCTACCGCTGAGCTACACCCTCCCCCCTGACGTGTAGCCTCAAAATACTCTGTGAAACGGGCTGAGCCACTGTCATCTGTAGGTGTTCCCAAGATTTAGGTTAAAACGTCGGGTATACTCTCTTCACCTCTGCCGTCTCTGAAACCCTCAAGAAAAGAGAAGTTGCATTCTGAACTGAAAGGTCCACAGCTGTGGTCTTTCGTAACTGTCGGACCCTCCAAGGACTGCTCCTAACAGACTTCCTGAGTGGCAGTTCCAGGTCACCACTATGGAGACTCTCAGGATGGAAGGACGGAATGTTCTCTTGAGTCTTCAACTTCCTTACGGTCTACAGCGCTCCCAGAAATATGTAAAAGGTAGTGCGGGGGAGTACAAGTACCAGTACCACGAGAACTGCTCGGGAAATTTAGATCCACAAGAGGAGATAAGACTGAAGTGTAATTAATTCACAATACTGTCGTGAAATGAAGAACAAAGAGTGTGTCCGCCATTAGTTTCCTAAACCGCTGCTCCCAACATCTTTGTCTGGAAACGTGGAAGGGGCATTCTGTCCAGGAGGCCTCATCTCTAGATCTGAGGACAAATACAGGACATAAGGCTAGGAAAGACATTCCTGTTGATATAGCGCCTCTTTCAGACAAAATGTTCTCCACAATGAAGCGAACACTTGAAGGCAGCAAAAGAATTAGTCATTAATAAGATCCCTACGCCTGGACAGGTCCTCAAACCTGTCTGTACATCGGCCACAAAAACGAGGCGTTTCCTGTCTTTATTCAAAATGTGGCATAGTCAACCCACACAGGCATTTTGGAGGAAATCCTGTCATGAGTGGAGAAGGGGGAAGGCAGGGATATATGTAATATTAAACGCCCCCAGATGACCCTGAAATTCAACAAATTTGGGTTAAAGCTGAAGAACTAGAGGCAGCTGAGAAAGAGTGGGGAGGAGATAGGGAACAGAGAGTGGGGATTATCATGGCAGGAGAATGGGAAGAGAAAGACAGGTAGAGGGAAAGAAATACCCAGGGAGGAAGCAGGAGAACAAGGAGACAAGAAGAAGGTTCAGGAATGAGACTTTAAACACTGATATTTGGGTAAGGGAGGATGTTGGATGTATCCCAGGTTCTTACCTCTCCTGCATCTTCACCAGGTCCACCGCAAGAAAAGACTACATCTACTTATTCCATGTTTAGTAGATGACAACGCATGTCCACAAGAGTCCAGTTTGTTTTCTTCCAAATTATTGTAGTTTGAACGCTGCTATTTGCTCTTCTTCTTACTGGATAAACAATTGGAGCACTTTGCAGGGCTCTCGTATAGTTAAATTTTTGTTTGAGATGGAGTGGTCCTGGGATCGACAGCTTTATAATAGCAGCGGGGAAAGCCATGTCGTGTGACCGTAGCAGGAGCAGTGGTGGGCGAGAGGCAGGGTCCGCCGGCGGCATAGGGTTTACGTATCTCAGGCAGCAAATGATTGATAGTGCACTGGGTTTAGAATATGAGGGATAAATTAGAAATAAAGGTAAGATGGATAATTAACAAATACACGACTTGCATAAACTTTCAAGAATACTTTTGTCACCACCTCGGATAGCGCATCAAAATTTTAATCCAAGGGTGGAGCGTTCAATTTGAGTACCAATTCTTCAGTTCTTCCATTCTTGTTTTTTTACACGCAGAAGTCATTTGAAACCTAGTTTTCTTCTAGAGAGCTTTTTGGTCCTTTTAAAAATATTGAAATATTGTTGACACACAATCTTACATTGGTTTCAAATATACAACACAGTGGTTTAACAGTTACCCATATTATTAAATCCTCATCCCCACTAGGGCAGTTACTATCTTTTGCCGGAGTCCGACTCTAGTGAGTCCAGGAGTCCCTGAAGGATGGATGTCGTTGGTGAGTAACCGAAATGAATGAGGACACAGACACTAGCAAAAGCTGAGCCTGGCCTTTAATGAAAAGTAGCAGCTTGATTATACACTCTTTGATTACATAAAGTTAAGTACAGATATTAATCATATAATTGACACATAGCACAGTTACATGACTTTGGAGAATGAGATTACATCATTTGGCAGGTCTTAGCAGTTCAACTGTTTCTAAGCAGGTTTTGTTTTTAGTTATTGCGGCTAGAAAATTTCACATAGGTTAGGTAGGTGCCAGACTCTTGGTTACTTTACAGATGACTATCTAAAGTTCACTATTCTATTATTTTTATTTAGGGCCCTCATTCTTTCATAGCTACACTCCCATTCTTCATCTACGGTAGGAAAGAAAGAGGCTCTCTCTAAAAGAACATGATGACCTTTTGACAGGCAAGGACAAATTTTATGGACTGTGCCTCGGACCCATTTTCAGTAAGACTTATAAATGGAGATTTTTCTGATCTGGAGTTGGGTAATGCCCTGTTCTCATTTGCTTTATAGTTTGCCAAGTTGTTCTTTGGCGGGCTAGCCAAAGAATATCATTTGTTCTCTCTACCCACCTGTTGCCATTAATAATTGAATAGGTCATTTGGAAACCACATAGGGGTGGGGGAAGGAACCTCAACCCAGGTAAATTTTCCGTATCTTTTCTCCCATAAACTTGGGTCCAATACTCATGGGGTCTCACTTTCCCATCGTCGGGGGTAGTCACAAGGGCAGTAGTGTTTTTTTCCAATTTCCTTTAGGGCCAGTACCCATAATTTTCAGGGAGAACTGGATGTGGCCTCTTCCCTGAAGGGGCAGCTTGAATTGAAACCGAAATAAGCAAATTTATTAGGAAGGGCATTCTGAGCAGAGGGATATTGGGGTTGCCCCTCTGGGAAGGCCGCTGTGCAGTTCCTTCCATCTGACTGCCCAGACTGTGTCATCAGGCTGGTGGTTCGGACCGGCTCCCGACAATCTTTCAACATAGGAAGATGTTACAAAATCACTGGCTATATTCTCCACACTGTACTTCCATCCCTATGACCAAGTTATATTATGATTGAGAATTTTTGTGCCCCTTTATTCCCCTCACCCTTCTCACCCATAGTAACCACCAGTCACTTCTGAGTGTCTGAGTCTACTGTTGTTTTCTTCTTCATTCCATTTTGTTTTTTTAGATTCCACAAATAAGTGAAATCATACAGTGTTTGTCTTTCTCTACCTGGCTTGTTTCACTTAGCATAATACCCTCTAAGTTCATCCATACTGTCACAACTGGGAGGATTTCTTTCTTTTTTATGGCTGAATAATATTCCATTGTATATATGTATCACATCTTCTTTATCCTTTCTTCTATTGATGGACACTTGGTTGATTCCATATCTTGGCTATTGTAAATAGTGCTGCAATAAACATAGGGGTACATATGTCTTTTTAAATCTGGGATCTTGTTTTATTCAGGTAAATTCTTAGAAGTGAAACTACTGGGTTGAATGGTGTTTCTATTTTTTGTTTTTTGAGGAACCTCCACAGTGCTTTCCATAGTGGCTGCCCCAATTTACATTTCCACCAACAGGGTAGGAGGGTCCCCTTTTCTCCACATCCTTGCCAGCACTTGTTATTTTGGGGGGACATTTTTAATATTCTGCTTTACTGCTGATATCCTACCCTTATCTCAGCAGGAGTCTGAGGAGCAATAGTTTGAACATTGAAAGTATGGTTTACAATACATTGCAGAACCACATTATAGTCTGTCCTCTCCTATGGATTAATTAATGAGATGCTCTCAGCATATGGAGAGTAATGTGGCACGTAATTTAGATTTGAAGGTTTGGGAAGAAAGGAAAAAGGCTGCTTTTTGGAAGATTTACAGGTATTCTGTGTTGTGTAGATGAGACGTCTTTCACCAAAATACAGGAGGACCAGACTGCTTATGGTTTGTAGGCTGTTACATTTTTGCTTTGAGAGTGTTGGGTGGCAGCATAAGGAAGGGGATGCATTTGACTTTGAACTTGATGAGTTTATGAAGCCTGCAAATTTAATGTGCAACTTTGGGATGATGTTGGGTACTCAATGGTGACCACTAGGAAAAGCACTGCAGAGAAGACTGATCTGGTAATAAACTACCAATTATGTGGTTTTGGAAGAGAAAGTCCCTGGATAGTGGGTAGAGTTAGAACTGAAAAGGGTCTGTTGTGACTTAAAGATTATGAACTCACCAATGGTATTCATTGGCAACAATCAGATAAGCTTTGAGATTTGTAGTGGTTAACACTAAGTTCCAAGAACTTTCTTAGAAGACCCAAGAAAAAATAATTGAGCTACCAGCTTCCAGAAGAGATTTTTATCTCTTTTTTCTCCCCTCTGCCCTTATAGAATCATTCCCTCATTCACAGGAATCCCAAGAAGTCCTCTTTGAACCAGAAATGTGTACTTCCACTTTCTAGCAGAACTTTCTCCACAACTGGCCCAGAAAATTTCTTATCAACTAAGTGGAATAAGAAAAAGAGAAGCAATAGAGCTCAA